GCCCAATTTGGTCTGAGCCCGAGGTGGGCTTAATAACCGGCGACTACTGTATGATGCCAGGCAGATTCACACTTAGGTACGCCATTTCCTCTGAAAAACTGGATGGGCCATTATTGCGTATTCATTTTTGTAGTTAAACTAAGATCAATCCTCTATACGTACATCCTTTCTATTTTTCATTGAAACTGATTCCCCTTACATCGGTTGACCACGCTTTTTCCTTAGCTGCCCCTTCACTCTGTCTTGGATTTCAGATTTCATGTTTATTTTGGGCAATTGCATTTTCTCCACCATAATCTCCGCTCCTTTGGAGCCCTTTGTGGCCAGTGTTTTCTTCATCACTTCCTACGCCCGACCTATCCGCTTCTGGGAAGCTACTCAAAAGTGCGTTTCATTTTACCCTTCCTCTTTATTTAGTTTGTCCTTGACCTTGATAACATGGAGTTTATATACCAGGTTTTTCGAGACCTCTTGGGTGTTGTGTTTTATCCAGGCCCACAAACTTATTATAATTTAAAACTTTCATGACTTTTTAGGATTCATCGAATCGAGTCCACAACCACCCCATTGATGTCACAACTACGCGGCGTTTCCTTCGAGCAGGTTACAGCGAACCTTAATGCCATTTTCTACGAACATTTGGCTCGAAGTCTTCAACAACGTCTGGCCGGTGACATTGCACTCGGCCGATGGTCCGGTGGTACCCTCCAACACGGCGACGTCTTCATTCTCGCGTCAGACGAACTGCACTTCCTGGTGCATATAATTGAAGTCGGTAACGGCCTCATTACCTTCCAAATGCGCGGTCTGGAATTTGCCGGTAATTCATACTATAACCTTGTTTCGTCGCCTCCTTCAGTGGACTTCATAAACACCCTCAAAAGACCTGCATTTAGTACTTCGTTTGTCACAGTACTTGGTTCACCGTTTCTGTGAACTTCTGTTGATCTCTATTTTTCTAAAGACTGAGGGAGCATGGCTGAATGATACCTCAGACCAGATTGCCCATCTGCTTATACATGGTACGGCTGCGACCATACCTGATCTTGCTGGCCTCGATAATGTCTCTGATTGTATCTCTCCACGTGTAACGACCCGCGGCAGCAGATATTCCCAGTTCAATCTATCCTTTTCACATGACACTGCTGAATACTGTAACTTCCGGTCGGTGTGTGCCATCGCAACGCCCCATGAACTGCGCAATTCCGAAAGTTATCTAGGGAAAATTGCTCGTGTTTAGCATAACAGGTTGGAATCTGATAGATGCCTCTCCCCCAAACTATGGCGCAAAGTGACCTGTATTGTGGGAATGGTGATAAATCTGGACGCCATGATGAAGATGCATGAAGACTGTCAAATCACAGTGATTAGGAGCATCAAAAAGTAAGCCGACACTGTACCTCTCTTGTGACGTAAACGGTTGTGTGGAGAATGTAAATTCATTTCTTAAATGTCAGTGAATAGTCGAAGTAAAATTTATGTAGAAAACTTGGACGCTTTACTATTTTTATTCATACTGACATTAAGTTAGTCCGGACATGATTATTTGTTCTTCAAGTCTAGGGCGTCCGACGTGGTGGCAAGAAAGCAAACGGTAATGGACCTCCGCTGTAGCAAGACATTGGGAGAATTATTGGCTTATCATATTTAATTGACTACTCTTAACAGA